CTTTTGAAAAAGAATAAATTTGTGTAAATATTTTTGAAAACTGAAGGTTAGGTCTACTTTTGCGAATTTAAGCAATAACTAGGACCTTTCTTCGTAATATTTTTCAACGAACGTGATCTACACCCTTTAAGGATTGTAGTAATGAACATTTTTTTCTTCAAATGTATCTTTAAAGTACCAAAATGTAGTTTTATTTCGAAGAATACTTAAATTTTCAGTGTGTGTAAATAGATACGACTATGGCTGTATTTACATTGACGATATATAATAATCATCTCAATTCCAATTGCATAGCATTACAATTGCTATTTCAAACTTTAAAACAAACTGATGAATCTTTTTAGTCCTAGAATTCTCATAAACTTAAATCTTAAGTAATTTTCTATCCTTCAAAATAATTTTTTTACCAAGTTAAAAAATCAACACAAGTTTTAATAGGGGATTGGATATTTCGCTTAAATTATACGAATAACACAGATCTATACGAAATTATCTAATTGACTACAAAAACAATAAAACTATATAGCGTTATAGACATGTAGACTTTAAAACTACAAATATAAATTCACTTACTTTTGTAAGATTTATTAAACATTTTGTTTTGTTTTTTTTTTCAACTACATAGTATATTTAATTGCTATTCATACGTCAGTGGTGTGGAGTGGTAGGATGCCTGTTATCCAGTATATATTCTAATACTACGTGCTTTTGTTACTAAATGCAAAAACCCCAATATAATTTTGTGTAAGACTAAATATTAAATTACTCCCCTACAATGTCATTGGAAACTCTAAGTACTTTAAATCCATATACTAAGTATATATTTACTACATGTAAAGTATATAAATAGTTGTATGTGTTTTAGTTAAGTGTAAAAATGTATGTGACTGTGTATTTGTGAGTGTTTAGATGTTGGTTTTGGTTTGTGGGATTTTTTTTTTGCAAGTATAATTTATGGCATATTTATAATTATTATGCCGCTCATTATTATGTTAATTTAAATGTTTTGTTCCTCTCATATGTTTCATTATTTTCTTTAATTTTCTGTTTATTTTTTATTACTTTATTTAATTTTTATATTTCCTTTGTCTAAATTAATATTCTTTTGTTTGTTTGTTGTTGTTGCCTTTTTGTTGGTTAATTTACATATAATTGTATTCAATTGTGTATTTTGTTTGTTTTTTCTTCTTTTTTTGCATTTGTTATTTAATTTTAATTACTAATTTTTTTTAATTGGTATAAATATGTTTTTATGTATAAATTTATTTTTTTTTTCTTTTTTGTATATTTTTTATTAATTTTTTATTTTAGTTTTTTTTTTAACCATATACATATGTATTTATAAATATATATTGCAGCTTAAATTGTTTTTTGGTTTCTATTTACAGCTTAGAATTTTTATGTCAAATTCATTGTTTCATTTTAATGTTTTTTATTTTTAATTTTGAATTGTAGTGAGGATTTACTGTGCCTGCAAAAGTAAAGGATAAACCTTAAAAAATAATATGGGTGTTAGTAAAAATTGGAAAAAAGTAGTAAAAAAGACAATTTATAAAAAAAAGAATTTGTATGACAAAATTTTTATTTGCATGAAACGTTCTTCTTTTTTTTTTAAATGGAATAAAATGTAATTGAAAAAAATTGTGCAACAAGCAAAATACTATTATAGATAACACATACATGCAAAATAAATTTAATAATTTCAGATTTTTACCAAACCTTTTTTCTACATTTTAAAAATCGAAACGAAAAACTTGTCATTATAACTAACAAAATCAAAAAGATAGTCTTACAATTTAAGTAAAAGAGAATAGAATATAGGTATCTTAACGAATCTTTAATCACTACACTACTACATAGAAGAGCGATCGTTGCCAACATATCATGTTTTTAAGTGCACCTTAAAGTATGAATGATTTTGAGGTATGATCCGAACATATTCGTGTCCATGTAAACATTTTTAGTGTAATTAAACCACTTCTAACATATGCTTCAATAATCTGATGCACTTGTTTGGATAAAAAGTGTAAATAGTATAGGGAGTTCTGCGTACATGAGTTCTACGTCAGCTATGGATCTGAAAACGCTGCTAAATATTCCACCTATTGTACCAAATATTAGGTATGAGATGGCTAAGGCTCTGAATATTCCGCCTATTGAAACATATACATAGGTATGAGGTGGCACTTATAGCCGGGCGGCTCATATCTTTTCGCGGTGGATACAATCATCAGATATGTCCAATCACGTACTAGACACAGAATATGTCGGAAACATTCAAACACTGATCCCAGATAGAATATCTTGGTCAAGCGGAACATTAGAGCAAATACCCTTAGGAATTCATTCCTACACAGATGACTCCGATTTAGGGGACAAAGCGGGGTTCTTTCTATATTGAAACAAAAATATACTATTTACAAAACAAACAAAAATATTTCTTTACCTAACCTCAACACTACCTTCCAGGCAGAAGTCCGAGAAATGCGTAAATTTGAGTAGAATAAATATGACGCCAGCAGATCTGGGCTAAATCGGGTGATCAAGTTAAATCTATTGGATTGAAAGAAAGCTTTAAACGATAACTTTCCCAGAGTTAAGGGAGAGCAGGGTTACCAGGCCACTCGGTAGTAGTCGGCAACGAAAGAGCGAAAGAACTAGCTTTAAAGGGAAGGGAGCTCGAGATAGTTAACCTGACGATCGCAGAACCATTCGAAGCAACGAGGGCTACATTAAAAATATGGGTGAGAAAATCTCACAAGGCTTTTTAGCATAAAGAAAAAAGGTGATTAGAACCACAAATATCCTTTGACCCTAACAAGAGTAGGACGAGAGAACTCCTTAAAATGACCAAGTCTGAGGTATGTATTCTGTGCGGACACACAGAATTACGGATGACATGCGGATTCAGATGCATGTAGAGCATGTAGAGAGGACAGTGAAACAATGAAGCATTTCTTTTGCCATTGTCAGGCTTTCATCGAAATTAGATCGAAATATCTTGGGAGTGATATTACTCCTGACATAACATCCCTCACGAACACTGCTTGGAAAATTCTGAAGAATTACGTCCTGGAAATCGAGTTCCACAACATCAGACGATGAATCATTGAGTGAATACTATGTTTTCATCAACAAAAACTTTACTGTGAAAAGGATCGCACAACAGGGCCGATAGTGTCCTAGGTGTATTTTTTCGGATTTGATGAAGTGTATATGGTCCTACAAACCTAGCCCCCCTAATGATATTTGGCACAAAATTTGTGTTGCCCCAAGGACTAAGCCTAAGGAAACTGATTGAAACCGATCTATTAATTTAGCTTACAGTTTTATATACATATGTTATAATTATACTGTCGACTGTCCCCACACAAAGTTCCTCTCCAACACAATTCGTAATCACTATGAAATTTAATACTTAGTAGTTTTGTATAAATGCAAATCCATTTTCCAATTTAAATAAAGTTTGATTACATTTGCCCACATACTGAAGTTTGTCCCCATAATGAATTTCGATTATATTTGTCCATATACAAAGCCTATTCTAAAGAAAACATTATTGATTGGAAGATATCAAGACGAAAATGGAAGTGTATATGCAGAAGGAAAAAAAGACGTTTTAAAATTATACATGCCTGGTACCAAATTGACACCAAAGTGCTACATCTATTGTCAAAGTATGTGCGGATACTTTTCAAACCAACCAAAAAAAAAAATTATAATGTGTTATCAAAATGACAACTATATGTTGTCAAAAAGAACGAAATGACACCGATTCGTTGTCGAAATCACAACGATGCATTGCCGAAATGACACAAAGCGTAATCGAAATGACAACAATGTGTTGTTGAAATGACAACGAAGCGTTGTCAAAATTACAACGGTGGTTATCAAAATTATAGTTGGGTTTTATTTAATTTTATACACATCCATTGTCTAAATGTTAACTGACGTGGTAAGCTCACTTTTGACAACTGATTATATCAATTTTGGTACTTCTCTAACGGGTTTTTTTCTCTGTGTGGTCCATATTCTAGCAAACATTTCAATATTACTTAAGTAAAGTTTGGAATGCATAGAGGAAGAAATATATACATACCTAAAAAATACATACATATGCAAATGTAAATATTAGAACTATCAAACTAAGTAATTGCGTTTCGAGACCTTTAAACGATTCTACGAGCTTTATTCTTACTTTTTCCATTACCTCTAAAAGAATTCATGTTTCAATGTTTTATTAGCTACGATTTTTTTTTCTAAAAAGGTTCAGTTTTTTTAATTAATATCTAAAATAAAACTATTTTACAAACATGCGAATTACACTCAGAAAATATAGAATTTTGTCTGAAATATACTTTAAAAAACTATTGGTACTGATATTGAGAATTAAATATAAATATATTTAAATCTAACTGATTTCTTTAGGTTTTATTTCAGGTCTTAATGTTATGCCCAATAGATAGCCTGATGGGCTATAAAATATCAACGAATTATTAAATCATGACATTTTTAGGTATATTTCGATTTATTAAAAAAAATGTATTTCTGCATGTCAAACAATTCAAAAAAAAGTCATTTATTCCGTAAGTTTTATATTCGAATCTTGATGATTTTAGTTTTATTTTCAAAACCGAGATATAAATAGTAAACATTTTTCTGAGTGTAATAACATTTAAAATCCACTACTACTAAATTAATAAAAATTTAAATAAAAATGCAATAAATTGAGTAAAAAAAAACGGTAAATTAATAAATAAAAATCACAAACAGTTACTAAAGCATGCTAAAAAGAAGAAAACAGAGCAAAAAAATGTGGAAAAAAAGTTAAATTCTATAACACATTGTAAATGCTTTTGTAACATTTTCTAAAGGTGCAAAAATTTTCATAATTATGTCGGAAACATTTCTTGTACTTCATCTACTCTACTATCTACTCTATATATATATAAATATTTTTGTATGTATTTACACATTTATAAACATTTCACATTACCAACCTGTGGGCTAACTTGAAATTGTTGTATGGGATAAGCAACTACACCGGCTGCCTGTGGTATGGCAGCACCGGCAACACCCGCCGTCGCCAATTGTTGAGCAGGAGATATTTGTGCTTGTGTAGCAACACCTTGCCAAGTAGCTGGAATTTGTACGCCCATGCTGTAATTGTAATAATATAGAATTTATTATAAAATTAATTATGTATTGTAATAGTATATAAAGCATTTAAATTAAATAGATTTTTGTTTACTTAGTAAAACTAATGGTTATCTGTATATAAATATAAACTAGCTGATTAATTACAAATATGGTTCTAAAGAATTTTAGTTTCTTGAAACCATAACTTATCTATGATTTACTACAAGACTGTTAGAACTCAGTTATAAAAAATGTGATTTTTTGCAATTTTAATAGTTTGACATACATTAACATTATTTAATAATTTAAAAAAATAATAATAATGAAAATGTCGATATATTTATATAATTATTTATATCGACAGCAATTATTTTTATTTGTTTGTGAGTATGAAAATTTAATGAACATGTCTAGCAATTAGTAAATGAATTCACTCTTTAGTCATTCATTTAGTTATAACAGTTTGCTCAGTCAGTAAACCAGTCATTCATCATGTTATCATTATCCCAAGTGGCATTTCAATCATTTAAATATCTAAATGTTTATTTGTTCTATCATATGTATGTATGTGTGTGTATTAGGTTATATTTATTTACTAAGTATACACATGTACATATGTATTTGTATGAAGTATATATAGGTATGTATGTATGTATGTATGTAGTTATAAGCGATGTTATGCATTTGATGTGTGTAACCTCATTTTGTGTTAAAATTGTGTTTACATTAACAACGACAATTCCAACAAAAACATTAGCAAAAATAGACAAATAACATACCTACAACAATTGTCACAGATCTTTGTACATATTAACACGCACACAATATACACTCATATATGTAAGTGTGTACGTATGAATATACACCTATTTTAATGCATTGTCAAATGAAAGTGAGTTTGTATTGAATGTTGTTGACATATGCACAATATACAGTTTAAGGACAGTTACAATAAAATAATTACATACACAGTATGTGTATGTGTGTTGGAATATTTGAACAATCATGATGTTATCTATTTTGCTTTTTTATTATCGTGTACTTTTTGTATTTTTTTTTTTTTTTTTGTGAATAAATTTATCGATTTAATAATTTTAATTAATTAGTTTTAATCTGCATGAAAGATTATGAAATAGGTAAAGTAATTTATTTGAAAGCTATTAAAAATGTAAGTGCTCCATTTATAGTCGTAATTTATTAACAAGTAATCGATCATAATAATGCATTTCGGTGGAAATATTAGTAGCAAAGTTATATTGCTAACACTAATTCATTGAGACAAGTGACACGAGTACGAAAGTTAGCAGTATCATTAAGACTTATATAAAACTAAGTTTGTCCGATAATTTTAGACTTCTTCCATGGGTCAAGAAGAGTATGTGCCAAATTTCATAAAATTATCTTGAAAACTGTGACCTGTAGCGTGCGCACAAGGTTTACATGGACACACAGACGAACAGACAGACATACGGACAGACGGACATATCTAAATCGACTCAGAAAGTGATTCTGAGCCGATTGGTATACTTTAAGGTGTGTGTACGACCAATATTTTTGGCTATTACAAACATCAGCACAAACCCACAATAACCTCCCCACTATAGTGATGTAGGGTATAAAAAGCTAAAAGTATCTTAACGTAATAATTGTATGATTACTATTAACATTTTATTAACTCTCCCTTTGTGTCTTAAATTATAAACTGAACTAGTTCTATAGTCTATAATAACGTTCATTAACTTACCCCATATAACCCTGCTGATAGCCACCATACTGTCCAAAATGATAACCCTGGATACCTTGCAGAAATTGATTTTGTACCGCAGCCGAAGCAGCAGGCGTTACAGCAGCTGTGGCCGATGAAGCAGGATACGTGGGTGTGGGAGAATACCAACAACCCGTAGCAGCTAGTTGTTGACCATAAGCCGCAGCGGCGGCAGCAGCAGCACCCACGCCATAAGGAAATCCAGCAGCAGCAGGATTCAGAGCTTGACTGGCAATAGTTTGGGCATTATTAGGATCACCGCTTTCCTTGCCCCACGAACATTTAACGGGCTGGGCATTGATTTCAGTATTATGAACACCAACAATGGCATGAGTAGCAGCTTCTTTGGTGGAGAATCTGTAAAGTTAAAAAAGTAAAATTATTATTAATATATTTTTTTTCTATGTATTTGTTAATAGAAATGACTCACCTAACAAACGCATAGCCTTTATCTTTGAAAACTCTTATTTCTTGTATTGATCCATAAGGTGAAAAAGTCTTTTGTAAAATTTCCTCACTCAATGCTGTTAGAGAACTGTTAACACCACCCACATAGACGGTGCAATTTGAGGGGCTGCTTTGATTGTAGACTTCGTCAAAGGTCAAGGGTTTAATGTTTTCTGGAAATTAAACATAAATAAATTACTTATTAATAACAATATCGAACTTATAAATATGAATAATCAAAATATTCTTTAATTAAAATTTTAGGAAATAAATATGTAACTGAAATATTGATTCCAGACAGATACACATTTTCCTCTAAAACCAGTAACAAATGTAATGCCAGCCTTTTGTAAGACAATGCTAAATTATTTGCTCATCGCCTTAATAATATTTGACACGACTGTTTCATTTTCTACTTCCCTCTGACCCCACAATCTCCTCTAAATTTGATTCATTTAATTCTAGTACATGTTTTTAAAATGTAATTTACATGTTTTGTTTTCATTTTCCTTAAATTCATACAAGTAGTGTTTATACATTCAGTCATTGTAGGCATTTGTTTGCCGTACTGCTGCTACAATTAAAATATTAGTTGTTGTTGTTGCTACTTTTCACTTACAGCAAGCAGGTATTGTGTTTTACTAATTACTTTTTTCTGTTGCTTTATTTTATATTCATTATTATTTTTTTTTTTTTTGTTATACTTGTTGTTGTTGTTGTTTTTTTCTTTTTAATTCAGGTTAAAATAAAATTTGCAACTTTTAAAAAATAATGTCAGCATTGCGTGTTTATGTCTTTGTTTAGTTTACAAAAGTATGAGTGAATAGTTGGTTGCTTGCAAGGATAAATAAGTGAACGACTGAATGAATGAATAAATGAATGGCTGACTAGCTGGTCGTTTTGGTCGGTTGTTTAATTTATCCGTTTAGTTTACATGTTTCAACGTTGCATGTATGGATATGTTGGTAAAATGTACATATTTATATTTTAAGGACTAATATTTAAATATATTTATACTAGATGTATGTATGATATGTATACAATAAGAGGGTAGTTTGTAAAGCTGTTGAAATGTCCTACCATGATGCCAGTTTTCTATAAGATTTCTATAAGGACACTGAGGAATGTTTGAGAACCTGTTTAATGAATGATTAAAATTTCAGATTGATTTGATGAAAGGGTCTTAAAAACTATTTGAGAGGTATTCGGAATACCTCTCAATTAGGGTGTCCTAATCGTGGACCGCTTTTTTGTAGGAAAACCTCTTAAAGGAGGCGTATTAATGTACTAAACATGAGAAAAAAGTATATTTTTTTGAAATTGTCCTCAGTTCCATGCCTAAAAAAGCTCATAAACTTGCTGAACAATGCGCTTAAAAGAATTCTAAATTGTCCTTCATATTTCTTTATATTCACCTGTGTGTTAGTATATTTTTATAATTGTATGAATTACAATAATAAATATATAGCAGGTTGTTGTTTTTGTTGTTTCTATTGCTGTTGTTATTTTATTTATTTATTATTGTTGTAGAATTTTGTTTTTAGTTTCCAACATATGCATGTACAATTTTACATGTTTTAAATCAGTTTGGCTAAATGTTACATATGGCCTGTATTTTTTTAAGTTAAAATACATTTTATATATGTATTTTTTAGCTTTGAAAAAATGTCTGGATAAACTCTTGAATAATTAAAAAGCTTCATTTTTAATTTATTTTGTGTTTATAAAACTCTAGATATAATATACTACAATACACTAAACATTCGTGAGAGAAAAATATAAAAACTAGTAAAATAAACATGTTGAAAACAGTTAGCAAAAAAAAAAAAAATCAACAAAATATTTATAATAATTAAAATAGCTAAACAAACTTAAATTAAAAACTAAAATTTATAGCTTTAAACTTAAATAAACGTTTAAACTATAGTAAATCCGATATATGTATAAATCTTTGAATTTAACATGCAAACTATGCCGGAAACCAAATACAGTCTTTATTTATTTAAATAACAAATTAAATTTGTTAAAGCATATCAAAAGCACACATTTTGTAAATAATTAAAAAGTTTAAACTGTAATTTAATAGTTAATAAAACAAATTGAATATTAATTTTTTTATGTTAAAAAATCTATACTTTTTCTATGATAAAAATGATCTACAATTGTTATTGGCTTAATTTAGTTTTGGTGAAACTATTGAGCTATATTTACATTTTCATTTACAAATTTGTCATAATCATGTAGGTTCAAAAGTCAACAAGGTTATGGTAACCTTAGGCACGCTTATTAGCAGCATGAAAATTTTCTAACATGGTAAGAAATGCTGCTGTTAACATTGTTGTCGTTTTATGTCAATCGAAATTTTTCTATGTGTACTTAAAATATATACATATGCACATTTACATATAGATATGTATATATATTAAGTTGGCCCCGTTTGTAAGGAGGAAAAATAAGGTGTCAATGTTCCCAACTAAAAAGAAAGTTTCATTGATTTTAAGATACCGTTGCTCAAAATTGTTCTCCTGGCGTCAATATTTGGTGAGCTGATCAAAGAATAAAAAGGTCCTTTTTGAGGTTTTCATGATTTTTTTCATATTTCTTCCAAACGAATGTTATGAAATTTTGGTATCATAAGAAAGGTCCTTGAGAGACGCATTCAACATATAAAAATCATATTGTGTAACAGCAAAAGTTTTAAAATTTTTCGGAAAATTTTCAAATTTTAACACAGACGAATTTAATATAGTGCGTTGAAATGAATACATAATAATCCTCAATAAAATTTGCCGAAACGGTGTGTTTCTGTTTGTCAAAATTCAATCTAGATCGAATTTTATTTGAATTTATCAAAGCCTATGTATGCTCCCAAAACATTGCAAAATAATGTTAACAACGACATACAAACCGTTGTCATCATAGATTTTTAGGATAAATTGTGTTAATATTTTATTTAAACTAAAAAATTTGATTTATAACACCCTGTAAAAAAATCTTTCTCACATAGAAAAGTTGATATGCATATGAAACTAGACTCAATTTAGAGCAATTCTGCGTACTCCGATTTTTATAATCAGCTCTTATGTCCTTATAAAAGGACAAAACGGATATATTAATTGTTTATATGTATTGTATGATGCTAATATTAGTATTAAATGAAAGCTGGGAATCTGTACATTATATCAATATTATTTATTTGACTCACTAAGACAAAAATTTAAAAATAAATAAAATTAAAAAAGGTATCATGTTCGAAACTAAAATTTTTAACTACTTTTTTGTGGCAAATTTTCTTTGAGCTTCCATTTCCTTTTCAATCCTGATGAAATGAAAAAAATAATATTATTTTGAAGCAGAGATTTTCAGATTCATTTGATATTAATATTAATACCAAATTTCCATCTTTTGAAATCGTATGTTCTTTAAATATTAAGGTCTTTTTACAGGGGAATAAAAGCTGATTATGAAAATCTAATTACACAGAGTTAATACTAATGGTCCACAGCTTCCCGTACACATAGATTTTTCGTCATATGTGAAAAGGAATGTTGCACGGTGTAATAGAATTATGAAATTAAATTATAATCGTTATATACCAATGTAAAGCTAATAAAATTACGCCTTTTATGATATAAATATTAAGTACGTTAGATAAATATAGCTAGTAAAATACCGGGGAGAAAATAGGCTTTAAAATTTTTAAATATACAGAAAATGTCGAAAAAACCGTTTGGGTGAAATAATATGAGGTTTATAATGTAATAATTTCAATTAATTTCATTAAATAATTCTATGTAAAAATTTAAAAAAACTAAAAATTTTCCGAAAAATTACAACATTTTTAATAATTTAGGAGGCTTATACAAAATTGTGTTATGTCGTTGAAATCGTCTCTCAAATATATAGTTTCTTTGCCATAAATATGAAAAAATCAGAAAAACCTTAAAAAAGATCTTTCTTATCCTTTGATCCAGCTCACCAAATATTGACGTCAGGACAAACATTGAGAATTGATATCTTAGAATGAATTAAATTTTCATTTTCGGTAGGAATATCATCAACTTAAATTTTGGGGCCACCCTAATGTATATATGAGGAATTTTGAGTCAAGTGACCCAACTTTAAAAATCGATATCTTCCGATTTGGATGAAATTTCCACCAAGGTTAGTACTATGGGATACTACACCGGCTCTTAAAGGAAATGGTCTAACCCTGTATGACCAAAATGTCCAACTTTAACCCCCTCTAAGTCCGGCAGTTCTTGACGGATAGATCTGAAAATTTGTGTCTGACCTACTATCTAATTGTACTAACTTTAGTGCAAATTTCGTCGAAATCGATTTTTTTAATTGAGTCACTTGACATAAAATTCCCCATATGTATATACGAATATATGAAATTTTTATACGAGCAAATATTTACATGTGCAAAAGCTATAATATGTTTTGCAAATATGCAATGAAACGAGAAAATCTCTAAATATGAAAGCAGTGAATGATAATAATAAAAATTAAATAAGAAACAAAACATCTTCGTACTAAAAGCCAATTTACGAAATTGTTATACAGTATGATCAATAATCCTTTACTTTTTTAAATGTGTTTGTACTTAACTCAAATATCGCTAAAAAAAAGAAATTTATACATTTTCAAATTAAAACTGCTTAAAGATCCTTTCATTTTCAATATCAATCAATCAATAAATTAAGTTTTTCTCTCACTAGAAAGCCAGTACGTATTATAAATATAGAAAGATGTGTTAAAAATATCACGTATACGCCACTGTTAAAATATCTGTAAGAAATTCATCGCATTGACCAATAAATTATAATTTTGCAGATTTACATAATTAATGAAATTTATTGAAAGTAAATTAAATTTTCAAATACTTTTTAAAATTAAAAATATTTTTTTTAATATTTAGAAAATCCTAAAAAAATCTTCAAAATTAAAAATGTTATTCAAAAATTTGAAACAAATTTAATTCTAAAATTTAGAAAATTTTGTAATATATTTTAAAAATTATTAATTTTTTAAATTAAGAAAATTGATAAAGGTTTCAATAATTAAAATTTATTTAAAATATTGAAAAAAAATTTCTAAATTTCTTAAATAGAGAAAATAGGTAAAATTTTCAAAAACTTTGTAAAAAAGATTATGCTTTTCCTTAAGT